CGTAGAAATAGAATGGCATGAGTAACATGAAAGATGAAATGCACTCACATGCGTCAAATGCACCTATACGGAATCGTTCAGGTCGAGGATTGTCGTGTAACCGACAATATGATTTTCTTTGGTCATCAGCAGCGGACTGATTTTTTTATCTAGGACATCAGGTTAGAATTACATTAAGTTTTATCTGTTTTTTAACATAATTGTTTTACAAATAGATTCTGTAAAAATGGAATGAAAAAACGATAAATAGAACTTCGTTCTTGTACGCTTTTTGGATGTTGAAAAAGTACACTCGAAATTAAAAAGATATACCTAGATATCTTGAGAGTAGAAAATGAGTTGTTGTATTTGTCGTAGTAATCGTCATATTCAGTGTTATGCTCCAGGAAAACGTGGTATGTCTCTTGAGGATTTAGAAGATATTTAAATTATGTGGACATTTTGTGTGTTTATGGACATTTTAGATGGAAAGAAAACGTTGCTATTATATATATATATATTGTTTTGATCGTGTGGAAAGATTAACTTATTTTGCTACTACTAGAGAACCAAACTCTCAAACCATCTTTATACTTCATATCATCTATGTCTTCGAATGAAGTATAGTTGATTCCTTATATTCTTATCGGTCATCTTAACGAGTTGATACGTAGTCAAAGCAGTCTCACCATGTCTTTCAATGTTCGGTTCTCTCTATGTTGAGTGAATTACGTTTTGAAATACATACCGCAACATAAAAGTCTTTATATGATTTTGAGTTTGCTCGGTGAGGAACACAAGAATTTCCTCCTATTCATAAGTAAATCGATTCCTTAGAAGTCCTTTAATCAACATTTCCCACACATGTCTCGTGAAAGGACATGAGAACAAAAGATGACTCCTTGTCTCCATCAGTTCGAAGCAAAACATACTGCTTGCATTTGCATTAGAACTCCATTTTATGACTCTATCTCCTGTTGCCAAACGATTTTTTATAGCCAACCAAACCATAAATGAGAACTAGGAGAAAAGTGCGAGAACCAAACTCCCTTAGAATAGTCTACCAATAGTCGAGCTACACGAGTTTGGTGCCAAGTATCCTTAGATACAAACTTCCTCTTTAATTTCCCTTTTTTCCTCTCCATAATGCTACATCTTCTACATCTATCTCTCGGCATTGCCTCTTCTTTATCAACTCAGCCTCAATTGCATTAATTAAGGGATGTCGATGTCTTCGCCTTCTCGCTCTATCTACAGCTTCACCGACCATAACGTTTTGAGATTTCCATTTCTATCCATCCACGGTCCCCCAACTTTTCAAAAAATCATCTCAAACTGTACCAAGAGTCGAACCAAAAAGACTTTTGAAGTATAGAAAGTTAGCCATATATCATGAAACTGCATGGCGAACTTTCTA